CAGCAGTCACAACTCATTTCTTCCATGAATATTTCTTGCTGCTCTCCCAGAGACGGATGAAGCTTTCCAGAAAAGCCTACAACTGAAACACCTGGCTCCAGACGTCTTCCCAGGTGCGTGCTCCTAGCAAAATAATGGAGCAGAGTGGTACTTGCAGATGGAGGCTGCTTATCAGGGTGGGGACTGAGATTTTCCCATTTCTAACAATTCCCAGGTGATGCCTAAGGATCAAGCTGTGAATAGCAGGGGAGTAGAATGTTTCTGACTCTAACTCACCTCCCCACTAGCTTCTCTGACAATCGATGATGACCGACTGACTGTGGTTGGAGAGAAGGCTACTCCATGGTGCGGGCCTCTCATGGGGTACGGAAAGGTGCCTGGTACTTTGAAATCACTGTGGATGAAATGCCACCAGATACTGCTGCCAGGCTGGGTTGGTCCCAGTCCTTAGGTAACCTTCAAGCTCCCTTAGGTTATGACAAATTTAGCTATTCTTGGAGGTGCAAAAAGGGAACCAAATTCCACCAGTCCATTGGCAGACACTACTCTTCTGGCTATGGACAGGGTGACGTCCTAGGATTTTATATTAATCTTCCTGAAGACACAGAGACAGCCAAGTCATTGCCTGATACTTACAAAGATAAGGCTTTGATAAAGTTCAAGAGTTACTTGTATTTTGAGGAGAAAGACTTTGTGGAAAAAGCAGAGAAGAGCCTAAAGCAAACTCCCCATAGTGAGATAATATTTTATAAAAATGGTGTCAATCAAGGAGTGGCCTACGAAGACATTTTTGAGGGGGTTTACTTCCCAGCCATCTCACTGTACAAGAGCTGCACGGTTTCCATTAACTTTGGACCATGCTTCAAGTATCCGCCAAAGGATCTCACATACCGCCCTATGAGTGACATGGGCTGGGGCGCTGTGGTCGAGCACACCCTTGCTGATGTCTTGTACCATGTGGAGACGGAAGTGGATGGGAGGCGCAGTCCCCCCTGGGAACCCTGACCAGCTCCCTCTTTTCAGACATGGACTTTCTGGGGAATAGTATTAAGGGGTGTGTTTTTGTTTTTGAACTGTCTCAAATGTTTCCAAAGATGCTGCAGAACACAGCCTCTCCTTTTTGCAAGTTAAAAGGTTGGGTAGGACTGTGGGAGACCCCAGCCCTCCAGTGTTCCCACCCCACTTCAGTAAATGCTCTTATTGTGTGTGCCACAAGCCAACACCTGCTGATCCCAGGATCCTTTAAGCTCCCTGTGAAATTGGTGCTGTACCATGTGCCCTTCTAGCTGGGACTTGTGACTTTACTGTATTTTCTAAGGAGTGCATAATCCTGTCCAAGTAACTTATTTAAAGACATTTCCCTTTGTGTGTATTGGTTCCATCCCACCTTTTTCCAGGGAAGTGGTGTGCCTGTTTTGCAGAGTAACTGAAATCCATAGCTGTACATTCCAAACCAGTCCAGCGAGCTGTTTCCTTCTGGTGTGGCTTTGGTTTTGTCAGTAATTTTGAAATATACCTTTGAACAGTGGGATCACTGAAACTAAACTATTAGATCTCTAGAACTATAATTGTGAAAAGAACTTACTTGCAGCTTTAACAAATGAGAAACTCCTCCCAAATAAAGCTTGTGTGGAAGTTTTTGTGGCTCTTTGCTTCCCTTCAGGTTGGGTTCCTCTTGGTGACCGTGTCAGCAGTGTGAGGAAGGGGAGCCAGTGTGGGAAGGAGAGAGAGATTTCTGACTTGGGTTGCAGCCAACCCTTTGCTTCGTTATCCAAGTCAGCCCCCCTTTATCCTGCAAACGTTGACACCTCGAGGGGATGAACAGAGGTAAAATGGCCGGTGTTCTCCCTGTAGCTCTTGACATGGTGTTCACGTGTGCCAGTGGTTTTCCTGTCGTGCATATTTTCCCTTTTTTTATTTTAAAGATGTGGGGTACAATTCAGGGTATTTTCCTCCTTAACAGCTGAGGATTAAAGAGCAACTTTCATAACATGAGAAACTGGAATGTAAGAATGAGCCTTCCCTTCGGTCCCTTTAGAGCTTATCTGTCTCCCCTTTTTACATCGTCTTAGGGCAAAGGCAGCCCTCCCAAGATTGCTCAAAGACTCCTGTGTGGAACTCTACCTAGGTCACCACTAAGTGAGAGGTGACATGTTGCTGCAGAATCCCCTTATATTATGCCTTTGGCTGTTCTGAATATCCTATTGTCATTTTCCTGTTTAGAAAAGCTCTCAAATTTCAAGAGAATATTGGTATCTTAACATATATTTGTCTCCTAAGGAATCGCCCAGACTCTCTGATTTGGCCATTCCCTATCTCTTTTTTTTTGTTTGTTTTTATTTTTTATTTTGAGTTGGAGTCTCACTCTGTCGCCCAGACTGGAGTACAGTGGCACACTCCTGGTCACCGCAGCCTCGATCTGCTGGGCTCCGGTGATCCTTCCACCTCAACCTTCCAAGTAGCTGGAACTACAGGCACGTGCTACCACACCCGGCTAGTATTCCCTATCTCTTATCAGGCAAGTTAACACAGACTCAACGTGACTAGAGACTGGACTCCCAGCCCTACACACCAGTTCATTCCTGGGCTTATCTCCAATGGCAGACCTGGTTATAAAGCTTCTAGGTCATCAGAGTTTGAAGGATTCCAAGAAAATGAGGGTGGTGGTATTTAGAGGAAGCTGGAGGGCAGTGGCACACTCATGGCCACCCCAGTGTTGACCTGCTGGGCTCCAGCAATCCTTCCACCACAGCCTTCCAAGTAGCTGGAACTACAGGCGCATGCCACCATGCCCAGCTAATTTTTGGTTTATTGTAGAGACGAGGTCTCACCAAGTTGCCCAGGCTGGTCTCGAACCTGTGGGCTCAGCCTCCCAAAGTGCTGGGATTACAGGCCACCGAGTCCGACCATGAAGGTAAATTCTTTGTAATACAAATTATGACATGAGTTGTACATCCACTCTCTATAAAATTTGGTTTTTATGTATTTGGTTTTCATAAATCAGGTTACAGATATTATTTTCTTGTTAAACTTTATATTCAAAAGTGTGTATCTAGCCCTGAATTGTACCCCACATCTTTATAATAAATAAATAAGTAAATAGTGTGTGTGTGTGTTTTCATAAAGTTCAGTTGAAGGGCTTAGAGAATAGCTACTTTTTATATAGTTCTATACAAAATAGATTCTGTAATCAGATCAACAGTGATAACTTTTTTTATTCCAATGTGAAATTAAACAAGTGGGAAAATATCTCCCCAGAGAACACAAAGACAGTTACATAGTTTGAAGGAAGCAAGTTATTATAATCCAGCAAACCAGGGTGTTGAAAGCCCGTTTCTTTACTGTCAGCCTGCAGTCTTGAAACTGGAGTATATGTTGTTTTAACATAAATTTTTTTTTTTTTTTAGTTGGAGTCTTACCCTGTCACCCAGGCTGGAGTACAGTGGCACACTCATGGCCACCACAGCCTCGGCCTGCTGAGCTCAGGTGATCCTTCTGCCTCAGCCTTCCAAGTAGCTGAAACTACAGGCATGTGCTACCACACTCAGCTAATTTTTTTATTTATTGTAGAGATGAGGTCTTACCAAGTTACCCAGGCTGTTCTCAAACCCATGGGCTCAGGCAATCCCCTCACCTCAACCTCCTGTGCTGGGATTATAGTCTTGAACCACCATACCCGGCCAATATATCTTCAAACAAGTAACCGTATTCTCTTAGTTGGTAGTGGAAGATAATTCTGTTCTAGAAATACTTCTCAACACTGATCTTCCTCAAGACTCAGAGTCCTGGGTACACAATAACTTTATCCGTTTCGAAAATAGCCTATTCTAAGAAACAGAATAAATTACAATAAATACCTCCATCAGTTGTAAAATGTTAGTACCTCAATAAATACCAGTGTTCCCACTACTGCTATGTTATTTTTTATTTTATTTTTTTTAATGTTATTTGTCGTTATTTGGTTTTATCTGTTTCTTTGTCTTTTTTTCTTTTTGAGACAAGGTGTTACCATGTTCCCTAGGCTGGTCTCAAACTCTTGGGCTCAAACAGTCCTGCCTCTGTGCACCACCACACCCAGCTCTTATTTTGCTTAATAAATAAACTAGAGTTTCCAAGTGACACAAAGCATGACTGTTATTAAAACAAGAATGAAAAAGCTTCAGGTGGTAATAGGGATTTTTCATACTACTTACCTATTTTATCAAATTCATCCCATCCCAATTTATATTTTTAAAGCATCAGTTCTCTGGCTCCTGGGAAAGGGGATTTGCCATATCACCCTGTTCTCCAGCTATCACTTATCCAAAATTAGTAAAATGTTCACCTATGTAAGTAGAGAAGTTGGCAGTCTCAAGCCAAGTTGACAGCTGTGGCATTCTACTAAATATCATAATTAATAGAAATGTTGACTTTATAATGCTGTTCATTCACATGTGGTACTGCCCTTCCTTTTAATGAGGTAAATAAAAATTCTCAGTTCTAATCTTCATCTTCTGGGGACCATTAATCAGCTGTTACAGAATTCGTCAGCCGATTTAGGGCCAGGCCCAGTGGCTTACACTCCTATTCCCAGCACTTTGGGAGCTGAGGTGGGAGGATCCCTTGAGGCCAGAATTTTGAGACCTGCTTGAGCAACATTGTGAGACCTCCATCTCTACAAAAAATATTTTAAAAATTAACTGGGCATGGTGATGCATGCCTGTAATCCTAGCTGTTTAGAAGATTGAGGTGAAAGGATAGCTTGCACCCAGGAGTTCGAGGCTGCAGTGAACCATGATCATATCACTGCACTCTAGCCTGGGCAACAGATTGAGATCCTGTCTCTAAAAACAACTGATTGGCTGGACTCAGTGGCTCAGCCTGTAATCCCAGCACTTTGGGAGGCCCAGGCGAGTGGATTGTCTGAGCCCGTGGGTTTGAGACCAGCCCAGGCAACTTGGTGAGACCTCGTCTCTACAATAAATTTTTTTAAAATTAGCCGGGCATGGTAGCGCGTGCCTGTAGTTCTGGCTACTTGGAAGGCTGAGGCGGAAGGATCGCCAGAGCCCAGCAGGTTGAGGCTGTGGTGACCGGCACTGCACTCTGGTCTGGGTGAGAGTGAGACTCCAACTCGAAAAAAAAACAAAAAAAATGATTTGGGTTTGTGCTTATTATGGAAATTGAATTTGTATGAAAGATCCTGGCAACAGATTCTGAGTAATTGAAGTAAGTAAATCCCAGAGTTTTATTTCCTTTTAATGAGCTTCAGATTTTAATTTAATTAAAAGCTTTGTCCAGGACTGCTCTAGTATGAAGTTGTAATCTACAAAAGGTTTTTTTTTTTTTTAAAGAGTGTAGAATGTTAAAACAGGTGCAGAGTGAAGTTTTTGTATTATGACTCATTATTCTAACTGGAACTTATAGAGAAGCTGTAGGGAAACCAGTCTAATTAGTTTTATATTTTTCCATAGAGGAAACTTGGACCATCTTTCTGGAAGGAACCTGCTATGGGAGTTTGATGTAGCCCTGTAGTAATTGGAGGAACAGAGGGTGTCTGGGCCCTTTTTATGAGTCTGCTGTGTCTACACAACCTGCAGGGCATGGAGCTCTGGAACCTGGGAAAAGAGCCTCCAGTCCTTAACCATTGCACAGTTTAGCAGTGAATGAAGTTACCTCTGTATCCAAGAGTCTCATTCCTATTTTCTTGGTACTAAAACTTTTGCTGGTCTGAGTCCTAGCATCATACTCTAAACACTACCACTCACCCCCACCACCCACCCCATCCCACTGTCGCCAAGTGGAGTTTGAAACAGGCTTGCAGGCTTCCTGTGGGGGTCTTCCTGACAGCATGCAAACCAGTGCAGCTGGCTGGCCTTTAACACCTGGCCTCCAGGACAGGGCTGGATTCCAGGCGCTTTCGCAGGTGGTTGGCAAAGTCTACCTGGGTCTGTGATAGGACCTGGTTGATGATGGTCTTGGGCAGCCACCCCTGTAGCAGAAGATAGGAGAAGTTGACCATCTTGCGGATGGATGGCCTGCACTCTAGACACCTCCACATCCAATCACAAACACAGGCTGCCTGGGCTTTGGTCTTCCAGCTCTGTTTGTAGAGACAGCCTTGGAACTGACCAGGGTCAAGGGCTGGAGGGCAGCTTTGCATAACCATGTCAGAAGCACAAGATTGGACGTCAACACACATTCAGCCCTGTTGTCCCAACTGTGACCTTGAGTGGGTCACATCACCTTTCTCTCACTTCTGATCTCTGGGCTTAGTTTCCCTCTTTCTAAAATGATGCTTTTAGAGTTGAATTCTGACATGAGGTGTAATATGGAGCTAGTGCAGGCTTTGGAGGTGGTGGGGTAACAACCAGGCCACCACTCAAGCCTCTCACTGCCCAGCAACCTGTGATTCCATCATAGTGAAAGAGGATTCTCTCTGCTCCACATGGGAGGAGGAAGATCCTGTTTCTCTCACAACCCCTTCCGCCCTCAGCCCTCAGCCCACAGCCCTCACCTTGAGGTCAATACTGAGCAGCCAGGTGAGTTTGGTCTTGGAGGGATTTCCCGCCAGCGGGTGGAGCACCATGCAAGTGGGCCTCTGCTCCGCTCTGCAATGAGAAGTCAAGTCAGCAGGACAGTTGGGACTTCTCCGCTGACGAGTTAAACCAGCCACATTTCTGGAGTCCTTGTTTATTTCTAAAGCTCTGCAGGGAAGTACCCTTTGCTGAGGGTCATGTTGAGCAGCTGGCATGGTTCCCAGCTCATCAGAACAAACTCTGCTTACAGCTGGAGTGGAACCTGGGGCCCCTGTGCCCTTTAGTTGCTGGATCACAGGGAGGCTGAGACAGGATTCAGGTTGGGGCTAGAGCCTTGGAGCACCCAGGGAGCTGTGGTGTTCTGAGTGGTATGGATTATTTCAGTTGCCAGTACAGCTGCTCTGGGCACACCCACTGCACCCCAGCCCTGCCCCTAACTTCAGAAAATTATTGAGGTTCTTAAGCTTCTGAGAAGGTCAGGACAAACTGGCTGTGGAAGTAAGGCCAATTTTGTCTTTCTGTTCTACTCGGGTAAATGAGAACCTCCTTTTGGACAAGGAAGTGGGGGATGGGACCAAGGGCTGGTTTCTCGGAGTGGGGGCTTCAGCCCTCCACACACGGGTGCATGCCCACGGCCTGCTCGGAGAGGGGAGGTTTGAGCCTGTGCCCATGGTACCTGATGACCCCATTTTGCTCAGGCATCTGCCCGAAGTGCGTGGCCATGCCCGCCAACACACAGGTGGAGCCTCGGCGCTTGGCACAGCGCACAGTCACGAAGTCCCGGGGCCCCACCAGGTTCCCTGCGGATTCTGCAGCCAGCTCGTGGGTGATGACGGTATCCTTGCCGATCTTCTGTAGGACCTAGCAGGCCATGGGGAACCAGGGTCATTCCTCAGCCTGTGCTGGGCTAAGCACCACCCACGGCTAGCGATCCCCTCCCCCATCCATCTTGCAGACGGGCTCTCGGGTCCCAGTCGCCTGCACCTGGACACCGCACCTTGATCTCCTTGACGTTGGGGTTCCATTCCCCCATCGCCTCCATGCGCTCCACCAGCTCTTCATAGAGTCTTTCCATGGGCTGCTCCACCACCACCTCCAGTCGGAACACCTTGCCCACATCCGGGACCACTTTGCTCAGCACTTTGTCCCCATTTGCCTGTTGGGAAGAAGGAGCCCCAGGATAAAGGTCTGAGGAAAATATTCCCAGCCTGAGTCTCACAGATGATACCTGTCAAGGAGGGGAGGGGAACAGCAAAGGGAATCCAAGCTGAACCTGAGGGAGCCTGGGACACTGATATGTGGAGTCGGTCGCCATCACTGTCCCAGCCTTGTGTGTCTGAAGTCTGGATGAGGTACCTGCTGCCCCCAGACCCTGTATTCTTGGTGGTGAATGTTGATGGTATAAGTGGATGCAGCGGAAAAGACTCTTACTTGACTTCAGAAGCTCAGAGACCCCGAGAGACACCTGGGAGTGGGTGAAATCTGGTCTCCAACCAGTTTAGTTACATCCTTGGGATGTTGGATGGGTCTCAGACTGTGTTAATTCAATACCTCATTTCATACCAGAAGAATGTAGGGCCAGAGAGGTCAGTGATTTACCCAGCGACCCTCAGCTAAGAGTTGTGCTGGCCCAATCCCAGGTTTCTTGACTCCCAAACTAGTAGTCTCTTCACTACTCCAAGAACTTGGGGAAGAGGTGATTATCTGAACTTTGGGTAATGGGCAGCAGATAAGCTTTTGCTGAAGGTAAAGCCACCAAGGTCTCTAATATAGAGCCCCTGGCCTTTCCCATGAGCCTTGTTACCATTCTCAGTGTGGGTACAGTGTTCAGGAGCAGGGAACCCCAGAAGGCCTTGGGCCATGACTGTGATCCAGTCGAGCCCTGCAGCAGGGTGTGACCACATCGCCCCTGCAAGCTCCGCCACAGGTGGGCTGAGATGGTGCACTTGGGCTCTGGGAATTCTGCTTCCAGGCAATGAGATCTTGATGCTCAGAGTTCCCATTGCCTGGTCTCTGCTGAGTGCATGCAGAGGTTAGTGAGAATAAGGGAAGCTACTGGTGCTTCTCAAACAGAAGTCTCCAAGGTGTCTTTTGCAGGGAAGAGCATGTCTGTGGATGTATTCTTGGGAAAGGAGAGTTCTCAAGTTAAAAGTACTTGCTAGCCGGGCTCGGTGGCTCAGCCCGTAATCCCGCGCCTTTGGGAGGCTGAGGTGAGTGGATTGCCTGAGCCCGCGGGTTCGAGACCCGCCTGGGCAGTGAGACCTCATCTCTACAATAAATAAAAAAAAATCAGGCGGGCATGGTAGTGCATGCCTGTAATTCCGGCTACTAGGAAGGCTGAGGCGGAAGGATCGCCGGATCCCAGCAGGCAAGGCTGCGGTGGCCGGAAGCGGCCACTGCACTCCAGCCTGGGCAACAGAGTGAGACCCTGTCTCAAAAAAAAAAAAGTACTTGCTAGGCTGGGCGTGGTAGCACTTTGGGAGGCCCAGGCACGATTGCTTGAGGCCAGGAATTGGAGACTTGTCTAGGCAACCTAGAGAGACCTCATCTCTTCAAAAAATCAAAAATTAGCCGGGCGTGTTGGTGCCTGTAGTCCCAGCTACTCGAGAGGCTGAGGCAGAAGGATCGCCTGAGCCTAGGCGGTTGAGGCTCCAGTGAGCCATGATCATGCCACTGCACTCCGGCCTAGGCAACAGAGTAAGATGCCTATTCAAAAATAAAAATAAGGCCGGGCTCGGTGGCTCAGCCTGTAATCCCAGCACTTTGGGAGGCCAAGGTGAGTGGATTGCCTGAGTCCGCGGGTTCAAGACCTGCCTGCGCAACTTGGCGAGACCTTGTCTCTACAATAAATTTTTAAAAAACTAGCCAGGCGTGGTAGTGCGCGCCTGTAGTTCCAACTACCTGGAAGGCTGAGGCGGAAGGATTACCGGAGCCCAGCAGGTCGAGGCTGCGGTGACTGGGAGCATGCCACTGCACTCCAGGCTGGGCAACAGAGTGAAATTCCAACTCAAAAAATAAAAAATAAAAATAAAAACCTCTTGCTACCCAGTGACTACTACATGAGTCAGGAATTCTGAGAACAGTGACCCTGGCTGACCCTGAGAGCTCAGTGGAGCACTGAGCGACCGCAGGACCCTCTACACCCGCCCTTACCTGCTGGCTCTCCTTCTTCCAGCCCTCCTGGTTGCTGAGGATTCCCAAGGCCATCTGCATGGCCTCTTCTCCCTGCTGCAGATAGGCCAGCTCCTCGTCACTGTAGAGAGTTTCTTCCAGTTGAGAACCTGGGTTCGCAACAGGTGAAGGTCAGAGCTTCCTTCAATTCCTGGCCCCCCACCTGTTCTCATCCCTTAATCTCTGGGTCTGCTATCTCCTCTGAAGAACCAAGACCAAAGCCACAGGGGCCAGCCTGCAGGTCAGATTAGACACAGCACCGCAGGGGACAGGGCGGGAATCTGGCCTTGAGGAGCTCTAGACTGGGGACATCCTCTCAAAATAAAGTGAGAATGAGCAGGAGGGAGCCAGAGTCATGTATGCAATGCATCCTGGGGCCCTCCACCAGCTATGCACCCTGGGAGCACCCTGAGAGCCTCCTGCCACCAGTATGGCCTCAGCACTTACCAAGCAGAGAGCTCCGGAGCCGCACCTGGTCAATCCACACGCCGGGAGTGGGGCCCCCCAGCGCCCTGCGGTTCAGCTCCTGGCCGAGGGTCAGCACAGCTTGGTGCCTCAGGGCTACAGGAAGGGAAGAAGCCGTGATCTAGGGGTTGGAAAGCCTCTCAGAGAGGGCCATTTCACCCTCTCAGCTTGTTACAGGTGAGAGAACTGGCTTGGAGAGGAAGTGACTCTCTTGCTCAGGAACACAGATTCTCAGCAGGAACCTGAACTAGACCCAGGTCACCAATTCCCAATGCAGTGCTCCTTATACCACTCCAGGCTGCCTCCAGGGCCCCAATTCCACCTTCCAGCTGGGGTGGTCATGCCTGGCCCCGCCTGGAGTCAGACTGCACCTGAGCCTGCTGGAGTTTCTCTCCCTGAAAGGGAGAGAAGCTTTGTCTAAGCAATGAGAAAAATCCTACCACAGAAGGCGAATACAACCTGTACACTGAGGTCTGTGTGCCTATGTGAGTGAGAGCTCAGTATGCCACTTCAGTCAGGGGGGGAAGTCTTATTGAGCTAATGAGGAAGCCCCATTGTGGCAGGAAAAATAGAGAGATCGTGACACCGAGACTATTATAGGAAGTGGCACTTTATTATGCTGGCTAGCACAGCATAGCGGGCTGAGAATTTCATGTATCCAAATCAAGCTCGAGCACCCCAGAACAGGTGACCTGGGGTCTTATACCCTCGTTTAGGTAAGGGAGGGGGTCGTGTTGAGTGATTACTATTTCCTTTGGAATCTTACTAGGTTGTACTCAGCAAAATCAGATTTTTCAAAGAACAAGTGGTTTCCAGGAACTGCAGGATTGTAAACCGTCAACTTCAGAAGGGGCTTTAGATAACTCTTTTTCATTTCCATGAAATAGCCAGTCTCTGGGCCATTTGGCCTTTCTTTTTTTTTTTTTTTTGGGTTGG